GCACTGCACACATCACTCCAGATGTGGGCACAATAAGGTTTTATACAGCAGCAGAGTCATGTCTTTGTCTTGCTCTCATTGTGTTGAATTCTGGGCTACTGATGAATATGAAGCTAAATTTGCAGAGAGCTGAAAGCGTAGAGAGAGGCTACATTGGCAACTACTACATGCTCAGTGTGTGTGCTGAGGTTCCTGAAGTCAAGCTGGAAGGACTGGACCTTCAAGACATCTATATTCCTGTTGCACTTCTTTTTACTCTAAGTTGGCAGTATTTTAATGCTACTACTGACTGTGTCATGTGTTTAAATGCTGAAATCTTGAGAGTTTAGACCAGACGAGGTGTGCAGTGCTCACCCAAATGGGCTGTGTTTTCCCCATCTAAAGCATCTTCATTTTGCTGAAGGTGGCAGCGAATGTGTATTGTATACGTAAGCAGAATCACAACTAAAACGGATACTGTTAATTAAATGTAAATATACCATTTCAGTAGGAATAAGCTTGTAGTATCTCACAGAGGCTTCTGATTTTCAGCTATAATAGCTTTGTCTTTCTTCTGATATGTTTTGTGGCTTCTAAGATACAGGTCCAGTTGTGACCTCTCAGGCTTCATAAGCATCTGTGTTTTGGCTGTGTGAGTTCTTAGCAGGTTTTAGTTTAAGATATTTTTCTTATAGAGGGTCAAGTTAAACTTGATTACAAGGACAGAACCAACTGGAGAGCACAATATGAATCTGCTTTAAAAATATGGATGTGACTGGAGGTTGTTAGAAAGCCTAAGTTGGGCAGGAACTTGCTGGAGCACTAGAACAGGCTTGCAACACCCTTTGAGATTAGTGATGTAGTCTTAGCCTTGGAGGAAGACCTTTACCCTTTATAAGAAACTACTGGCATTGCAGATGGATTCAAGGCAAAGCTTCAACAGCTTCAGCAAATCAAGAATTTTGAAATTGAATTTTGTTTAATTAAAACTCAACTTTCCTAGTCTGTAATACAGGCCAATTTTGTTCTGCTTCTACATTGTCTGTAGCAATCCAGGACTCTGTGCAATCCATAAGGCAGGTTAGAGAGAATCGATGTTTTCATTAACTACTGAGACAAGCAATATTGTTCAGCTTGAAACTCAAACAATATGTCAATTCCTAAAAAGGATATACATTCCTGTCTGGTGTAACCAGGCTGAAAAACCTTCTTCTAGCAAAAATAAAGTTCTTCACAAAGGAAGTGTATTCATCTGCAAGAGCTCTTAATGGAGGAGGATTTACTGCCAAGCACATTATTGCAAGTGGTTTCTATTCATCTGTTATAGCATGAAACTCAACTTCACTGCATCTCCCAAGTACTGTGTATTAATACTGTTGCATTAACTCTGTGCTTAGCTTTGTTTCCCAGCACATCTCTGTGCATTATGTAGCAGAGGTCACGTAAATACTGCTACCAGGAGTGTTTCAGCAGTACTTGGTGCCTGCAATGGCAGGTCGCTTGTTTGAGGAACCAGTGTGATATAATTCTCCAGGTGAGAAACAGAAACTGAGGCACAAGGATGTGGATCTGCCTGCTCAGCCCATTCCACTGAAATACAGGTATTTATACTAGGAGACTGTAGTAGCTCTGAGTTGTGTGTAGCTCATGCTCTAGTGCTGAAATGCAGTCTGCAATGGGAGGGTGCTATGAGCATGATATCAGAAGCTGTAACACAGGTTTCTTAATTCCAGGCTTATTTTTCTAACCCCCTAGTTCTTACTTTTCAGGTTCTTTTTGCATGATATTAAAGTGCTTTGCATAGAGTACAAATGAAGAAAAATATCTTTTGTGTGTGAAAACATGTTTTAAGGCACAACCAAGAATGTTTGGAAGGACAATATTCATGTAATAACATTAGAAAACATTCCTGTAGCTGCCATGAGGGATGAAACTTGAAATTCTACAAATACATTTGATGCATCAGAAGCAGCTATGCTGGCAGTGGAATGTAGAGGGAGGTCCTCATCTCCAAGTTTTCCTTGTGCTAGAGGAGAGGTGCACCTGCATCCCCTGGAAATTGTGTGGCTATTTGTATTTAGGAGCAGGGAGGACAGTGTGAGGGACCCACTCTGGTAGTCTGAGCCATAACAAAAGAGAGGATCTCTCCTCATTTCTATGTGGTATCTGTCACGGCCTTCTGCCACTACCATCTGAAAGTGAAAAGGAGTGTTAAAGCTGTGTAAAATAAAATAGATCTCTAGGGAACATTGTCTTCTCTTGGGGTGATGTAGGATCTATTTTGGCTGGAATTTCTCAGTCCTCGATGGGTGAGTAGGACAAGTGTGTGCGTGCTTCTGTTCTCCTCTTGTGCCATGTTCCATATGGTGGTAGATTTGCTTGCTCACTTAGGCTGTCTTTGCTGTTCATTCTGGGACTGTGATCCTCTGTGAAATGGCTTGGTTGTTTTCTTTTGAAAGATGGAGTCCTTGAGTAGGTGGTACAGCCTGTTGTTTTTCCTTTAAGGAAAGGATAGTCAACTGGAGGTTTTGGGTATGTTTCTGACTTTTTGAGAGGGAGCATCTCTTGTCTGGGTAAGTTCTTTGTTTATATTGATTTGAGAAGAGCTGCTGCACTTGAGTTCCTTCTGTTGTCCTAATAGTGCTGAAGAATTAAAAAAACCCTGTCAAGTACTAACACTTCTCATGCCCTGCTTGTTGTCACAGAAAATACTGTTAAATAATCCATAAGGACATAAGTTTCTCTCCTTTGTTATTTTTCAGTGATGTGCAAGCAGTTCTCACCTCACTTTTCCTGTAGAGGGCAAGCGACAGTTACTACAATAAAATTTACTGTTTTCTTCCTTTGACAGCAGGAGATGAGGTGGAGTTAATGGTTTTAGTGTGACTTTAACCAATCCAAAGTGAAGCCTTTATTGTAGCAGAGAGGGGCAGCACCATTCAGCAGGGGCTTTTTTGTCTCCTTTCAACTACTGGACCTTTTCCACACTAGTAGCTTTAGAAATCCAGCAAAACTTCAACTGTTCTAGTCTTCTACTATTTTTATACACTTTCAGTGCCTCAGTTCAGAAGCCTAAACTTCTATGATTTAAATGGAATAGTCTCCACGTGTTGAAGCTCTTCTGATTGTGTTTTGAAAGGCATCTCACTTTCACCAAGTGTATGCTTCAGATTTCTTTGAAAGTTGTGATTGCTTCATGATGTTCAAGTGTATGATCCAAAACAGTTTGTATGCAGTGATTTTTTTTTATATCTTTACTTTTGCTTATTTTCCCATCATAAATTTCTTAAGGTGGTTCAGAAATTGTGAGCAGAGTTACAGAATTCATCCCTGCTGGTTTTTAAGCTTGTGATGTACCAATGTTTAGGTCTTAACTACTGTAACTGATCTCATTGTGTATGTATTTTCAATGTCTATATTGATGATTTAAAACAAACCTGTACAGACAAGACAAGAGCTATCCTTTCAAGGATAAAGAAAGAAGAGAAAATTAAGATTATTCTCATGCAAAAATCAACTTTCAGTCCTGCCTACTGTAGGAGATAAGAATGTCTACTGGCTGTTGCTGTCTCTTGGGTCCAGGTCTGGTCTTGTGGCTCAGGTGGCAGGATGGGCCTCAAGAGAGGGTGTGGGTGATGGAGAGAGAAACAGGGAGATGATTGTATTGGTTCTTGAGTTAATTTCAGAGATTTGGAGAGACAGCAAGGAACTTTTGTCTCATGTACCAGTTTTGTTTAATTTTCAATTGTTTTGTTGAAGACAGGTTGGGGGTGTTGAGCCTGGAGAAGAGAAGGCTCCAGGGAGACCTTAGAGCAGCTTCCAGTGCCTGAAGGGGCTCCAGGAAAACTGGGGAGGGGCTTTTCACCAGAGAGGCCAGTGATAGGACAAGGGGTAATGGTTTTAAACAGAGAGGGGAGATTCAGGTCAGACATCAGGAAGAATTTCTTCACCATGAGGGTAGGAAGGCACTGGAACAGGTTGCCCGGGGAGGTTGTGGAAGCTCCTTCCTTGGAGGTGTTCAAGGACAGGTTGGATGGGGCTTGTGCAGCCTGGTCTGGTGGGAGGTGTCCCTGCTCATGGCAGGGAGGTTGGGACTGGATGATCTTTAAGGTCCCTTCCAACCTTCACTATTTGATCATTCTAATCTCAAACTTTACTGATTTAAAAAAAAATAAAAATCTTACTAGATGTTACTCAGAGGTCAAAATAAATGGCATGGGGTAATAAGGGGCCATGACAGTTCTTCACTGTACTGGTGTATGTTTGAAAAACGATTGCCTACTGGAAGGCACAGGTAGGCTTTTGAAGGATTTTTGTGTGCTTGTGGTATCCCTAGTGTACTTTTGGCAGGTGAGTAGTAACTGCAACACTCCTACCTAATAGTTGCACTGGGCCCTGAGTCTGAAGTAGAATTTCTTCTTTGTAAGTAATAAATCGGGATATATTTCATGTTTTATTAGGCCCATATGAATGACTCCCTGGAAATATGATGACTAATAGATAATGTTTCCTTTTCAAAAATCCAGTAGTGTAGTAAAAAAGCTTCAAAACATTTGAAAATGAGGAAGTAATAAACCACAGCATTTGTGTTTTTATTTTCTTGAAGTACCTGGTTCTCCACTGAACACCAGACAGACGTTTACCTGGAATGAACTTCACTCCTTTAAGTGTATAGACTAGTAAGAGAGACTGGCTTGCTGTAGGTGGTGCGTTTTCTAGGCGAAGGCTTCCTGTCCTTAGAGATAATTTCAAAATACCTCTGTATATTGGATAAAAACTGGAAAAGGGAACAACTAGACTAGAGTTAAGGAAGAAATTTTTTTTGCTGTGAGGGTGATGAGACCCTGGAACAGGTTGCTCAGAGAACCTGTGGCTGCCTCATCCCTGGAGGTGTTCAAAACCAGGTTGGATGGGGCTTGGAGCAACCTGGTCTGGTGGGAGGGAACTTAGAACCTGATGATTTTGAAGGTCCAAACCAGTCTATGACTGCGATTGTATTTTAGTCATGTTTTTGTCTCTAGGACTTTATCCACCAGTGATGATGTTGAGGACCGAGAGACTGAGAAAGGGCGCCTGGAAGAAGCTTATGAGAAGTGTGACCGGGACTTGGACCAGCTGATAGTGCAGCACTACACGGAGCTGACCACGGCCATCCGCACCTACCAGAGCATCACCGAGCGCATCACCAACTCGCGCAACAAGATCAAACAGGTCCAGTCATCTGAAGGGGCCACAGGAAAGCTGGAGAGGGACTGTTTGCAAGGAGTGAGAACACTTGGGGCAATAGTCTAGAGCGAGGTAGATTTAGTTTGGGTGTTAGGAAGAGGGTTCTGTGCAATGGAGGGTTGTAAGACAGTGGCACGGGTTTCCCAGAGAGGTGGCAGAGGCTCCATCCCTGGAGATGTTCAAGGTCAGACTTCATGAGACACTGAGCAACTGGATTCAATTAGAAAGGTCCCTGTGCACTGCAGGGGGTTGGACTAGGTAGCCTTTAAAGGTCCTTTCCAACCCCATACATTCTATGATTCTATTCTATTAAGTTGAGCTTTGCATATGTTGGTGTTTGCATCTGCTTAATAGTGTCTACTGAGTACAGACCTGTGCAGCCTGTCTTTTTATTGTCCTTTTATTGGTGTTGTAGTGCTGTAAGCTTCCATTTTATCCTTTTATTTCCCTCTTTTCCCAGTTTAGCATCATTCTGATATGAACTAAAAATTGAATTGAGAAAGCATTCTTACCTACTAATTCTGAACGATGCCTGATTTCCAAGTCACTCTGGCATAATTAGGAACAGACCATCCAGTTGTAAGAAAGAGGTTGCAGGCTGTGTTTTACTAGCAACATGTTTTCCATAGCATCTCCTGGTTGGTTGATTGCATAAGTAGTTGAAAAGCAAAATAAGAGGTGGATCAGAAGCTGAAAGCTTTGCAGTGCCCTCTGTTCATTTATTGTCTTGCCGTGTTGCTGTCAGAGTTTTGATGTCTTAAGGGCTGCTAAGCTAACACCTTTCCATCTAATCTGTTCATGTTTTGATATGTTGGCTTCCAACCACCTCCTAGATAGTCTGGATGATTCATTAGCTTGCTTTTCACTCACAACATGAATATTGCTGCTATATCCAAACTCAGTTTTGTTGTGTGAATGTACATGAACTTTGTGCCCCCCCCCTTGTATCTTTCTGTATTTTAAGTGCTCACACTTGGGCACGGTGCCAGTCAATAACTGGTGCTCTTTGTTGTGGACTTGTTCCATCTGTTATGTCCCTGCAATGATAGATGAGTTCATAGAATCATAGAATCCTAGGGGTTGGAAGGGCCCTCGAAAGATCATCTAGTCCAACCCCCCCTGCCAGAGCAGGGTCACCTAGAGAACATCACAAAATTTTTTCGGATATTCACCTTGAACTTCCTATGCTCCAATTTACACCCATTACCCCTTGTCCTATCACTGGTCATCACTGAGAAAAGCCTAACTCCATCTCCCTGACACTCACCCCTTACATATTTGTAAACATTGATGAGGTCACCCCTCAGTCTCCTTTTCTCCAAGCTAAAGAGACCCAGCTCCCTCAGCCTTTCCTCATAAGGGAGATGTTCCACTCCCTTAATCATCTTTGTAGCTCTGCGCTGGACTCTTTCAAGCAGTTCCCTGTCCTTCTTGAACTGAGGGGCCCAGAACTGGACACAATACTCCAGATGCGGCCTCACCAATGCAGAACAGAGGGGGAGGAGAACCTCTCTTGACCAACTAACCACACCCTTTCTAATGCACCCCAGGATGCCATTGGCCTTCTTGGCCACAAGGGCACATTGCTGGCTCATGGTCATCCTCCTGTCTACCAGGACCCCCAGGTCCCTTTCACCTACACTGCTCTCCAGCAGGTCAGCCCCCAACCTGCACTGGTACATGGTGAGTTCTTTGGGCTCCTCTTCTCTCTTTTACTCTGTGTAGTTTGCTATACCAAAACTTGGCAAACTAGGTACCAAATTTATTCTGTTTGGGTTTTTTTCCCTCCTGTGGAGGTTTGTTGCTAGAACCATTCACACCGGTGCTTTAGGAGCAGTAAGCTTTTACCCTTTTGGGGCTGTGTGCTGACCCTTCTGACTCTTCAAATTCATTTAGCATTTTCAAAGAAAATGAGACCATTCTAGTGCTTTCCAAGGGTAAGAGTTCATTCTACGATTTATGTACAAACCTCAGCACTTTGAAAGCAAAGATCAATTGTACTAAATTTGAAATCAACTGTACCCAGTGGCCTGTTTTCACACAGTATACTAAGCTTTGCAGAGGTCAAAACAAACACACAGGGTGTGACCTTTTGGTTCTGCCTTTAAGAATGTCTGTAAAGGTGAAGGACCTTTTGATATTTAAGTTTTCGTATTAGTTTTGGTCATTAGTATTGGAGTAGCTTTGACCTAATCTCATGGGAGGTCCCAGATCTGGTTTGCCATCAATCTCTATTACTTTCTCAGACTTTTGTTTTGATGTTACCCTCTTGTGGAAGGTGGATGATCACACAGGCCTTTACTTGCATTACAGATTGGAAGTGATAAGTAGTTCAGATCTCTGTGTATCTACCTTTGGTAATCAATTCTTGTAGGAATTCTTCTTGGGAAAAGTTTAGGTTTGATTCTGGCTTTAGAGGTGTTTATTACTGTAGAACTGAATTTTAAAGTAGAAACTATCTGGCCTACTGAGGGGAGGTTCTTTGTTAAGAACTTCCTTAAGAACCTTAAGGTTTATTCCTTCCCCTGTTCTCAAATATAGATAGGGTTGATCTTACTTCAAGACCAGGAGCAGTAATGTCTTGTGAGATTTTCTTCTAGCCCCTTGATTGTTTTACTGACCTAAAGTGGCTGTGTGAAACAGCAGTGATGGTGTGCTGGGTCAGAGAAACATTTTAAATTAAGGTATTGAACAGGGATTAAGTCTGAAATTAACTGTGTGCATTGTAGTTTGTCTCTGCTTTTGTTGCAAGTTATGGCAATCTAAGCTTGTCTCTTTTTGGTCTGTGTATGTGTCCCATGTTTTTGTTTTTTTTTAAACTGCCATTAGATGGACAAGGTAGGAGAAGGAGCAGCTGAACTGGGATTTCTGGAGTGCTTTGAAGGCTCATTATTTAAAAATAACTTGAAGGGCCTACTTCTGAGAGTCTCCATGTGTAATTCAGTCAGAGTTCAGCCTGAGAAAAGGTTGGAGCCTAAGTATTCATAACTTATCACAAAAACAAGAGCAGTGTGAAAGGAATGTGTGAACCTGTGTTGTTAATTGCTTCCACATTTTAATATGTATTATGGAAATGAATTATGCAAGAAAAAGTGAGGTTACACTGTCCTTACCAGAGGATATTGGGAGAACCTGAAAAGAGGGAGTGCAGGCTCATTGGAGCAGAAAAAATGGAGAAGAAAACACTGATTTCCTGAATGGGATAGAATGGTAGAGAATTTGCCACTTAGAGAGGATGGCATGAGGCTCAAAAACAAACTAAACGGCAAATCCTGAGGTGTTTTTCAAGGTGATGTAACAGCCTTGATAAATAATCCGAGTGCTGAGTTGGACTATATCTTAATTGCTGTTTGTTCCAATGAAACCTTATCACTTTTAAAAAAAAAAATTGTAGTGCTTGAGGTATTAGGAAAATGATTCTACTCTTAGTCAGGTTTCAAGAAAGGGACACCAAACTTGAAGGAAGAAGGGCACGTGCCAAAAGATTTAATAGGCAGATGGAAAATGTTTACAGCGGAAAAATTAGTAGTGGCTTATTTGCTTTCACTGAAAATTGGATTCTTGCTGGATGCCAAAAACACTGAATTGAGTTTTGGAAAATGTGCAGATAAGCCTAGGATCCTGGTTTTGTTCACCTAATGATACCTCAGCTAAATTTTCACTAGAGGTACAGAACTTTCATTTGACTATAAAAGCAGTTCCAGTTTCTATAGACTCGTATCTTCAGCCTAAGAATTTACCAGAAATTAAGGAATTTGGATTTGGTTATAGTCTTGCTATATTTTTTGAAGTCCTAATTAAGTCAATGTGGGAGAGGGCTGATCTGGTAGAAGTTACAGGCTTTAATTAAAAAGGTTTAATTAATCTGTTGACATGTTGCCTGTAGGTGAAGGAGAATCTGCTGTCGTGCAAGATGCTGCTGCACTGCAAGCGGGACGAGTTGCGCAAGCTGTGGATTGAAGGGATTGAGCACAAACATGTCTTGAATTTGCTGGATGAGATAGAGAACATCAAGCAGGTGCCTCAGAAGCTGGAGCAGTGCATGGCCAGCAAGCACTACCTCAACGCCACAGACATGCTGGTAAGATATGGTACCCCCTGCTGAGCCAGTGTCTACCAGAAACACACTGGTCAACTCTCTTGTGATTTGCAGACAGATCTGCTTTCTATCCTATTAATTTTTTTCCTGCTTAATTTCTTTTGTCCTTTGCTGATTTATTGTACTGGAAGTTCCATTTGCTTTTCTTTGGATCCTTTCTGACTGGATTGAAGGTCACAGTCTCCCATCCTGTTTGTTGAGCTCTTGTCTTTCAGAGGTGTCTTTGCCTGTTGACTTCTCCTGATCCTCCTGCTTTCTGGAACCATCTAGTTCTTTTCCCATTTGATCTGCACATAGTATTTCCTTCTGCTTTTGCAGCCTGGTGCTTTGTTTTAAAATTGATTTCCCAGACACCTGACTGTATCATCTAAAGTTTTTATACTTTATTATTTGTGTTTTTATGGAAGAACTATCCTGTTTCTTTTTTACTTCATCTCTCAGAACATACTCAAAACATAATCTAAGTCATTATTCCAAGGGGGTCTCTTTCACTATTTAGCTGTGTTTGACTCTCATTATCTTCCTCTAAATCTTTTACCAGGACCCCTAATTCGTTCTACTTATTTCCAGCTCTTTTTTAAATGTGTTTTTATTTTCTTCTTCCACCCAGACTGGATGGAGCCCTGGGCAACTGCCTCTTGGTGACCATGCTTGAGCAGGAGGGTGGATTAGGTGTTCTCCTGAGGTCCTTTCCAACTTTAAGATGTCGGTGATTCAAAAGTGAAGGCAGAAGAAGTATATCTGTTCATATTCCTCTTTGTGTTTGCTAGAGAATGCCTTCAGAGGCAATATTTTAATTGCCTTCTTTTGTTATTGTTTTTTTCAGCTTTCCTGCTCTTTGTATTTCTCTTATCTGTGCCTCTTTGTCTTTTTCATAACTCATTATAACAGGATGAGGAGCTGGAAATCTTACTGTTGTCACCTTTTATTCCTAGAGTCCAGACTTGAACTTTAATTTCCTTTTTTCTGTTTTATCATCTTTTACCTTAAATACAAATTCTTAAACTTTTCCTGTTCCCTCTGAAACATTTCCAACCATTTGATGTCAGCCTCCTAATCCCCTTCTCTGGTGTGTGTAACACTATCTGGATTTTGGTTGTTGCTGTCACATCTCCTTGTTTGATTTCACTCTGCTGTCACCTTCCCGTTGTCTTCTGTTGTTCGTGTTATTTTCACGCCACACCTGGTACAATCATATTTCTATAATCTGGTGAGTTTGTTCTTTTTTCATTTTTAAAACCATTTTCCAGGAACCCTTACCTTATTCTCCTTGGAGTCTCACTGTCTCTTCCATATGAACTATTGCCTTTTACAGTATTGTAAGGTTGGGATGGCAGTGATACCATTTCTGTTGTGTGATGTAGAATCACAGAATGGTGAAGGTTGGAAGGGACCTTAAAGATGATCAGGTTCCAACCTCCCTGCCATGGGCAGGGACACCTCCCACCAGACCAGGCTGCACAAGCCTCATCCAACTTGGCCTTGAACACCTTCAGGGATGGGACTTCCGCAACCTCCCTGGGCAACCTGTTCCAGTGCCTTCCTACCTTCATGGTGAAGAATTTCTAGTGTGGTTTTTATGATGCTTGATTGAGTGTTATGTAAAAACTATTAGAGTTCCTAAAGACAGATAGATCAGCAATGCAATGACTTGAGGCAGCACATGTAAGAAGAGTGCAGTCAGGTTTTGCCAATATTTTTGTTAGGTTTCTGATGTAGGGAATTGGAGTGTGGTGCCAGTGGGATATTTTCAATTAGGGAAGGTAAAAAGCAGATATAATTAAAGGGCATTTGATCTAGGAGGGAAAAAGAGTGTTCAGAGTGAACATGAGTATCAATTGAAATGTTAACCAGTTGGTGCTTTCTTTTATTAATGGACCTGCCAGTGTGCTTGCTTTTTGGTTTTGCTTTTTTAAACTAAATTTTCAGAAGGAAATAAGAGAACAATGATTCATTTCCTGTCTGGAATATAAGCTAGGAAATGCAAGAAGAAAACTAAGAATACTTAGGATGTATCATGTAATATGGTTTAAAAACAGTTTGCAATATATGTATTTGTCATATCTTAGTTGTGCACTGTGTCCCAGCTGCAGGTTTTTATCTGTGCACTTATATCCATGTGCACAGGCCTGTGGGTGTAGGTGAGGTTGCCCAAGGCTGAAATACAGCTAATACTGGACTTCACTCATTTCTGGACTTGAGTAGGATGCCATGCTCTTTATTTGTTGTTTTCCAGAATAGAGTGTATTTTCTAAGAAATCAAATGATAATGCTATAAAAAGCAGCTGTTAGATTTTAT